AATATTATTACAAGGCAAAAATTCTGCGTAAATAACGGTCTACCTTTTTTGCGATACGCTTTAACAAGCAACAAGAATATGTTAAAAAGTAACATGTTAATAAAGTGAATATATTACATTAACACATATCTGTATATTTTTTAACATGAGAAAGTAACACGAAAACTTTAGTGGATTATTTGAGCAAAACTTTTTACCATATATAAGTTATGAACTTTATTTTACGCTGTATTTTCCAAACAATACGGTCAATAATTTTGAAATTCTTATATAATGTCTCTATATTAATCCTTAATATCGCAGTAATTTTTTATGAAAATCCTAAATGTGGTTTAAAAGAAAATTAAAATTAAAATTAAAAATAGGACATTAACCTCAGAAAATATCTGCAGATTGATTACAAATCGAGTTTTAAATGTCTCGCGAAATTTACTCTCGCCAACTTAATTCATGCGGGCCAATTTTTCTTCAGCTCCGTCGCATTTCCGAAAATGAGCTCGCACCGACCATCGTTCCGCGAGAGCTGTTTCTCCAGATTTATCGCGCGCGAATTATTCAACCTTCTCGACATTGCCTTAATAACGATTTACTGAAAATTACTTCCACGTAAGACCGTTAAGCGTGGTCTTAATAATTTTCATTTCTAAGCCGCTTAGGATCGTTTACATCACATGATCCCTTCTGGGCGGGCTCAGCGTTACTCGTGGGAGATATCCGCGCCTTCTAAAATTAGCTATTCATTTAAATGATTTATTAGCTTGCTTCGTGTGTGTGTGTGTGTGTGTGTATGTACGCGCGCGCGCAGGTGCCGTGTGTGTACTCGCGCTCGCGTATTTGGAAATTTTCGAATAATTATATTACCGTGTGTCTACCTGTAAACCGAAATCATTTCAGCGGAATGCAACGTAGCGCGGATGTACTCCTAACCCTGGATTAATACGGTAGAAGAGGCATGTACCGCATAATACAAGAGAGCGTAAATTAGAACAACCATCGAGCTGCCGGTGAGTTTCGTCGTGTGGCACGGCTCGGTATTAATTAAAGCATAACGTTAAACAACCGACGTAAACAGCGGAATGTTATACTCGGCGTGAAATCGCGGCAACTACCGCGATCGAATTGATCACTTCGGCCATAATTATTTCAACCAGGGCTAATACAATTTCTGTACAATTGAGAATATTCTTTCGTTCGGGTAAATCGACAACCGATAGCTCGATCCGATGATCGACGCAAGGAAGTAAATGTAACAACCAACGGATACCTATTAGAGATTTTAGAATCACAAGTGTGATCGTTGATGGTGAAATAATCATGAAAGACCAATCGCATTAGAAATTAGAAACGTATGAAATTATATTAAGAATGCTTCAAATTGAATTTGAAAATATGTAAGGTTTATTTTTCTCTTACACAAGGCTAAAATGTTCACATCACAACTTCCTACATTCATACTGGGAAGAAGACTTTATTTTATTATTAAATACGCTTTAAAGTGTACTTTTTATTTTATTAATTCGGACAGACGCGGGTGAAAAAGCTCGTTCCAATTTTTGCAACAAAATGCCCCTTTTTCATCAAATTTCTCCAATAAAATTGATTCGCGCAGGAATAATTCGACGCAAACAGAAGTCCGTGAAAATTATTCAATCTGAATTTTAAAAACGGTTTGAACTTTATTTAGCTTCATTAAGGTCCCCATTGAATTATTTGCCATTTCCACTGGCGGAAAACTAATGTTTCATTGAAGAAACAAACGCGGGAATTTCGCGGGAAGACCATTACGTATTATATAATGTGTTATATAATATATTTCGTGGCGGCGCTGCAATTAAATAAATTATATTATCCGGGGAAAAATTAAGCGCGTGTCGGCTGATGTTGAAGCACGACGGGAGATAAGCAGCGCAATCCTTGTGGTGAAAAAAAGTAGGAGTTGCATATCCGCAGCATACAATACTGTTGCGAATCTGCCGGATAATCCCGATGTGAGAAAAAAAAGGAGTCACACCGCGCATTTGCATTCAAAGCCGGATTATTTTGGTAGAGAAACCGAGAACGCGCGGTGGTACACACACATACACACACACACACGCGCGCGCACACACACACAGAGCAATTAAATGCCTCGGTGACTTCTCGTCCTAACAAAATTATGGTGGTACAACAAAGCACAAAACAAGCGACTGGAACGACTTTTGCGCACGCTATGGCGTAACTTGGCGTTCGATGCGCGAATTGCACGCGAAACGCAAGATTATTAGAAAACGACAAACTCGTTTGTTTACGTTTGAAAATCCGCGAGGTAACTGAAAGAAAAATGTCAAAGCATCGCACACGCAATATACAGCGTGTATTTTTCACATTCGCGTTATATTGTTGTAAATAATATTTATTTCTACAGCTTCCTAATAAATACGTACTTTATAATATTTACTTAAAAATGATCGCGCGAACACATTACGGGCTTGAATATTTAAAATGTTTACTAAATACAAATTTAATTTCAAATTAAACCATATCATTTCTCGGAAATGAAAAACTTAAAAACCTGAAAATTACCTAGTTATAATTTAAAATTATAATCAAACAATTTACGTGCGCTAGACTGACACGACGTTGTACACGAATCATTGAAATAACGATTTAAATATTTCCTTTCCTTTACCTAACGATGTTTACGGCGTATATTTCCGTGCGTGTGCACAAAAGATTCACCGTCAACGTCTATTGTACGTACGCTGAGAAAAGGATTTGCTACTGAAATTTGGTGAATATTTGCCGACTGAATATTTGATTTTTGCAACCGAACAATTTAGTTCCGTATACTAAATATACAATATACGGAACTAAATTATTTGGTTGCAGTCCAATATTTGGTCGGTAAATATTCACCGAATCTTAATATACTTATTACCAAATCCTTTCAGTGTACATCTAAGCGCGTCGTACGAAATCTCTATTCTCATGTTTTTTTTGTTAAACTTAGTATATATGAGCTCCCACTCGGTTGTACCGAATCCGAGCGAGATGCCTGAATTTCGGAATTTTAATCGTGCGATTTAATACGACGAAGCAAACCGTGGTATAAAGTAATTAAGTTTACACAAGAAGTGCTTTCGGAGAATTCTAGACCGTTGATTTGAGCTGCTCGTACACATTCATTCAATTTCTTCCTTCCCCCCCCCCCCTTTCCCCTTCCTCGGTGAAACGTACGTCTGCCATTTTAAATTTCTGAATCCCGGTATAATTACGCTCGACCTAAAATTAAGCAGCAGCGGCCCGCGGATAAAAGGAAGCATGCGAAACAGCCTGTGTATGTCCGGCCGGGTTTTTAGGCTAATTGAATGGAACTGCGCGAAACGGTAATGACCCAAACACGACCGGGACAAAAGCCCAATGCGATAATTCATTTTACGTATTGGCCGGTGCTAATTGTAGTCTCGAATTTCTCGCGCGTTGCGGGTTAATTACCGAATATACGGATACGCCGCAACGTTGTTTCGCGGTATCCTTACTATCGGATGCCATGTACCAAGTGTGCCGCGAAATACGTCTCGAGGAAGAGAGACGCGAGCAATTGCAGTGTGAATTGCGAAAAGCGCATACACACACCGTTTAACGCGCCTCAAATTATGCGGACTCGTTGCGACAATGAGAAAGAAATCCGAGCGGAAGAAACTCCTTTCGTTAGGAGAAGGTATTAGGTAAAGCGTGTGTTCCACGAAATTTGAAGGACAAATTCGAATCGAAATTTCTTCGTTTTATGAACGCACTCGGACTGAAGAGAATTCGAGTCAAAGTTGAAACGTCCCATGAGTAACAACATTGTATCTCCAAATAATAATGAACGAACATCTATGCTTCTCTCTCTCTCTCTCCCCTTTGTCTTGTATTGTAATATAAATTGTGACTCGCTCGAACCGAAATGTTTATCACAGATCGAGGAATACTATTGTCCCTCGTTATATACCATTGTGAGTTAAATTAAAGGATTAATTTATTCTATCAAGAAATCCTATTAAGAAACGTTGAATAGAATAATATTCTATTTATATATTATTCTATTAAAAAAGTGTCAATTTTTCTCTTTATTCCTTAAAAATACGGAAGTGTGAAAGTTATAAAACGTCTATTCATTAAAAATGCAATTAGAACTGTTTGAAGAAAAGTTCAAACGTTAATATCGGATCCTGATGGTACGCTGAGGGTGTCGTTGGCAGAAAGTTGCAGCTACAATAATCGGCAGCGTGAAACTCCGAGATGCGAACACCTCGTGATCCATTTCGAGCGTCCATTTCGTTTGAAAGCTCGTCCCGAATCCGTACGAATCCCCGGCGTCCTTTTCGTCGCGCCACCGCCGGAAGATATCACGGTCGAATCCGCCGAAACTTTCATTCCGAGTGCCGTGGAAGCCAGGCCGGCTCGTCACGGCGAAGTTATTCGCGCAAGATTCCAGCTCCCATGCGGAATTTAATCTCATTGAAAAGCTCGCCCGGCGCGAAACGAGCCCGGGCGAAGAGCGCGTCGAGAAATCTGGTCGTGCCACGTGGCGCGCCAGAAAGATATCACCAAAAATCGCCCCCGGCCTCACGGACTTCTGCGCCGGAAATTAAAGATTCAACGAGCCGAAGGTAATTTCGGAGACGGGGAACAAGAACCGCGCGGTAGCACTGGTACGGGGGCAGCGGGAGAGGGTTGAAAATGGAAATCGATGCCGGATTCGGTCTGAGGAAGAAGCAGAGGCGGGGAAGTTACATCCGACGTCGTTAAGTCGTATTCGAGGGAAACCGGGAATTCCCGCGGAACAACTATCGATAGTGGAGCGGAAAATGCTTCGCCCGCCCGTTCCCCCCGCGAAGATTGTACTTTCTCGCGCAATTCGCTCGGAATTTATTCGCCGCATTATGTAACGGCGTATCGACGTCCGGTCCGTTTTGAATCCGAGCGTCCCTCTCTCTCTCTCTCTCTCTTTCTAAACGCATCGACTCGATTTCCAGGAGGAGTGCGCGTCGATGATGCAGGACCTCAGCGACAAGATCAACAACAAACATCACGAGGTTCACACGCACCCGTTGCTCTCGATCTTCAAGATGGCCGAGGTCGAGGTGAAGATGCCGTACAGCAACGAGGCGGCGATCAGCAGGTCGCCGTCCGGACTCCTCGTCGTTCTGCTCGCGATCGGGCTGCTCGGCTCGAGTTGCCTCTTCGGCTCGTGACAGGGGCATCGGCACGCCGACACCGAGAGCGTCGTGGAACGAGCGTCGTCTCCCCCGCGGAGAATCGCCACGTGTCGCGTGCACGTGGTCACGGCGGGCCCCGCAACGCGGGGGGCCGCATGGACGAGCGAGGACTCGTGGCCTTGAAGGGCACAGATCAACGAAGAGAAGGACTCCTCCGACCCGCATCCCCCGCCTTCTCCTCGACCGCCGCGCGGACCGACGGATCGCGGGCGGATCGATCGGCGATCGCCGAGCCGATCGCGAGTCGCGCTCGACCCCCGTCGAAGATATTATTAAATGTACATTGATGTTTAATGATATTTTTGTTACTGCACCTCGATCGTTCCCGAGCCTCCTTCTCGACCCCTTCGACCGCCGCTGCTCGCGCGCGAGCCCGCCGAGCGTTCCTGCTGGAACGCGCATCGCAGTTGTCACGCGAGATCACCTTTCATCTCGCTGAGCTTTCACGGAGAAAACAAATTTCGCTGGAACAGCGAATGTTTGTCAGTATGGTGACAGCAAAAAAAAAAACGCTCGGACAGCGAAAAATTTGCCAGGACGACAGGAAGATTTGTTGCGAGTATTAATTAACCGTGTATCCAGCAAATAGCAATTAATACTCCCAACAAATCTTTCCGCTGTTCGGACAAATTTCTTGCTGTCCAAACAAATTCGGTTTTGCCGTCACAATATCGACAAATATCGACTTTACTGTTCCAGGAAGATACGCTTCCTCCGTGTTGCTTCCCCGAAGAGAAAAATCCCGAACGGAGGGAAATGTTCGCTCCTCGGTAATACGATTCCTAAGAGAGATGTCACGCAGTGGATAATGACGAATAAATATGATGCAACGTGATGTCAGCCATTAATGGCGGGTAGAAGAAGATCCCCTCTGCTTGTGGATCGGGATAGTTGCGAAAGACGGCGATCACAGCGCTGATGAAGAAACGGCACGGCTCGAAGCTGCACCGGGATCGCCCGGGGGTTTTCCAGCGCGCTCCGACCTCGTTCCTCCCTTCTTGTTTCTCGGCTTTGCCATTTCATTCGAAATACACCGCAACGGACAGCCAAACCGGGGAAAAAGGTGTTATCTCGCGCGAATTTGCGCGGATTACGTTTCGCCCGCTGCAGCTCGTTCCAGCATTTTGAGAGGTCGCGGAAGTAACGATTTCGGTGACGCCGCGGCGAGACTCACACGCGGGGAAAATAAGCAGGCCGTCGCGCCGGTGCTCGAAGGGTTCGTGGCGACGGGATGATCGACGACGCGCGCTCTCGACGATCGATGCCGCTTCGAGGTCGGGTCTGATGGCGGAAACGAGATTGGCGCGGAATATATACCACGTTTCGTCAAACCAAGCGCGAGACCGAGCGGAAACTCGTCGACGACCGGCCGGCCGTATTCTCGTTTTACGCGCGCGCGGTAACTATTTTCCCCCCCTTTCCCGGCCTCACCATCGCATCTTGCGCGAACGAGATTGTTGGGCGATCGGCATGCGACCGACGTAACGTCGGGCGCGAGTTGCATCGCGAGTTGATCATTAACTATTGTACGGGCTACTGATGACGGTTACACGGTGATTTGTTCCCGGCGAGCGATTCGCCGGGAATAGCCGATGAGAACGCGGACGGTAAATGGCAAAACACATCGAAAGATACGTAATCGAGATTTTTGAGTTTTACACGATAAAGTTCACTAATATCTATAAACAAGATATATATATATATATATATAATGTAACATGTATGTATATATACATATAAAACGAGTTCTCTCCCGATCGGCGAAGGGAGGGGAACCGTTGCTTTTAGGATCGTTAAACGCGGGCGGCCGTCGCGTCGGAGGGTCGGCCGCGTGCGTGGAAATTTTGTTGCGCGAATTGTTACACAAAGATATATCGCGTATATCCGAGGCGACTTATTTTTCTCAACGTTGAGACCCCCCGCGTGATTTATATCTCGTAATTGTTGACACTGTGTGCTGCGACGTGCCGGAGCAGGAACGTACGGACGACCGTCCGTGCACTCCGCCGTCAAGGTGGTTTTGCGCCCGATCGATCGCAGCAGTCGCGCAGCAATCTCGGGAAATTAATCGAGGAAGCGTTAAAAGCGCAAAGAGCCGATAGGACGGGCGGGGGAGGGGGACTGTCGAGAGAAAATCGCGGTTTCGAAATTGGCCTCGGGGAGCATCCCGACGAGAAGAATCGAGATCGGTGAGCGTTCGCGGTCGTCCGGGACGAGAGAGAGAGAGATAATGAGAGGAGTACAGCGCGTGTATAATAAATCGACCGTAGCGCGAGGCAGTCTGTATAAATGGCTAAGCACTAATCTACTGTATAATTAACGGCCAAGCAACGCAAACCTCCTCCCGTACTGGACCATTAGGTGTTTGTTAAAGTTGAAACCTAAACCTAAAACACGTGCGTCTGCGGCGCGTCGCGAGAGGCTCGAGTGTGTAGATAAATGTAGATTGTTGATAGCGACGCAAGCGTGCGCGTGTGTACGTGCGAGAGAGGGAGAGAGAGAGAGAGAGAGTGAATGCGCGCGCGCGCGTGCGAAAGAGGTGTGTGTAATAGAGGTAGGCTGGAAAAAATACGGTCGAGCGGAAAAGTCGATCGTGGCCCGCGCGTTTCCAAGTTTCCTCGCGTTTCAACGCGCAATGCCGACGCTTGTCGCGCGGCAAATCGATCTTGACAAATGGCCCCCCGAATTTTTCCGTTTTATTGTCTCCGTTATCGGGTTCTTCGTTATCCGGATGCGCACGGGGTGCCTCGAAAGAGCATCGAATTCCGGAGGAACGAGGCGTTGAAATTTCATGGAATAGAAATTATCCCGCTGACAAAGAAATGATCTCGAAATTCGACAGACCGCGGATCAGATTCGCGATCGTTTTGCGCATTTTTTTTTCCAGTGTGTACTGTGTATGCAATAATTTTTCGTCTCTGCGAGATTCTCGCGAGAATTCGACCGTCGAATCTCTGAATCCCGTCATCCGGCCGCGTATCGTTGATCGACGAAACCTTCGACGTCTCGACACCTTTCTTAATTATCAGACGCCGAAATTTCGGCGTCAATTGAGGGCAGACGACGTAAATCACACGAACGTGCATCCCCGTTTTCTCACGAGTGTCGCTTCTTTGTCCGAAGCGCCATCGATTATTTTATTAGTCCGCGGTCCGTCGATAAGAGCGGCGCATATCAATGCGAAACGTTGTCGTCGCGTCGCTCTGCGTCTCCGTAATTACGACGCGCAGTGTCAATAGTTCGTGACTGTGGGAGGCACCCTGTATAAACGGTCGATTTGTCAGGCGGAGAGACGCGGGGTGCGCGAGGGCGGAAAACTTGTAAACGGCGGCCGAACGCTTGACATTTACAAATTACTCAGAAATTCACGAGCTCGAATTATTCAGCAGCCGGAGAAGTCCTCCCGCCGGCTCGATCATAATCTCGATACCGGCGATTAATAACCCTCGGGATTCCGATAATTATCCCTTCCTACGACGGACTCGCCGCTACCTCNNNCCCCCCCCCCCCCCCCCCCCCCCCCGGGTTCTTCTCGGGTGGCGCGGAAATATAGCTGATTTGGTGTTGCAAGAACTGCGCGCGCGATCTAATTTTGTCGCGTCGCGATGTCGAATCCGATCTTCGCGTTATCAGTTGGATTTGAACATTAACGAGCGCTAAAAGCGCTTTATCTAACACAGTCTCGAGCGTCTCTAGATTAATTCATCTGGCCCGGCAAATGCGAGACAAAGCAACGTATTCGTCGGTGAAACTTGAATTCGCAAATGTCGCTTCTCCCTTTCTCGGTCGCACTTAAGAAATAAAAACATCTGAAATATTCCCCGTTAGTTCCCCATTAAATTCGTATATTACTAGCGTGTCCTTCGACTAAACTCTTTCGATTGTTTCTTATCTCCCATCAAGAGCAATGAATCCGTTTCATCGTGACAACACCTTCATGTTGCCATATCTGAGCGCGGTAAATGTCAGCCGTACGATTAATCAACTTTAAACGCTTATAATTTAAGAATTATTGTAGCCCCATTATTTTTGTACTTGAACTTTCATCTTGAAATATCCAAAAGAATCTGTCATGTTGAGAACGTACGGTGATTCTGAGACACCCTATATAGAAATGTATCAAACATAAATAATATTATCGGCAACACATCAGACATGATTTATTTATTTCTCGGTCTCGCAACATTAAGAATATATTTCCTCTGGAAAGCGCTTCCTCTCGCGAGAAAGCTTTCGATTATTCATATATATTCATTTATCAACCCCCCGATTAGTGGCGTTTCTATCGAAAAGCCGGAAAACAAGACGCCGATCGATAATGTAAAAAGGGCAATTCTCTAAAAGTAGATACGGATTATACAGCCGTCGATGGGGAACACAATAATACGAATACAGCGATACGAGTACGATGATTTCTCCGTGAGAATCTCTATTATCCTTGCGAGTCCTGTCGGCTGAATAAAGTGACGAGAATCCGTCAGACGGGATCCCGAGGATTATAATTGCGCTGAAGCTTCCGGCGAATTCCCGGGCCACGCCGGCTCCGGAGTTAACTAACGAAAACTCGCTAGACAATGTAGCGGCAGGAACAATACGGCAATTAAATAATAGAGAGCCCTTCTATATGCATATACGATATACTCTATAAATATACGTTACGTAAGTGCATATATATTTATATATATATGTATACATACATGCACATATATATATATATATGTATATATAAATATATAAATATATAAATATGAAAATTTAGGTAACGCGAGATATATAAAATCGGACAGTCGGCGCGTTCTGGCTGCCATATTGTTTGTACATGGACTACAAGTTTGAGGCGACAAGTTGTAATACAGTAAAATTCGATTTAGGTGGTATTCGTCGTCGATCCGAGCGCGTTGATTGCACGCGCGCGTGCGATCCCGCGCTTGGTCGTGTGCGTGTGAGTCCTGCGTGTGAAATGCATGCGTCTGTGCGCGCCGATCGTACCCCGGGCGCTCCTCCCCGAATTATCGTCACATTGAGTACTGATTACAGAGCGGAATACGGTGTGTAAACTGTTATTAGAGACTGCGACGCGTGTGCGAACACATACGTTACTTTAACCCCTCGACTGGCAAATTGAATTTACGCAAAGATACTCTTAAGCTGGCAAAAAGTGGTTTTTCAAAAGTTAAGCTGTGTCATCAAAATTTCCCGTCCAGGGAATTTTGAATATGAA